TACTAATTTGCTCAATACTGACATAGATATGACAGTAAAAAAACCAAGAGTAATGCTCAGTGTGGTAGTTATCATCATGTACAACTTAGGTAGGCCATGATTCCCAGTGGTTTGGCAGTTATGTAAGATGCAACTTAGCATTTAAGTAATGATGTTATTTGGCAGTCAGGTAATGATATGGTCATCTTTCATTTCATGATCTGTTAATCCTCCATTTTCACATGATGCAGATTTTTGCCTAACAACCCAGTCTTTGCAACCTAATCATGTCAATAAGGAAGAAGTAGGTGATTTTGCTTTTTATTTCCTCGTATTTTGAAGGAAGAAATTACATTATTGAATTTTTTTGCCTTTCCTCTTTTCTAATTTAATAACATAGATTTCCATTTTAGCACTCCTTTAGCTACATCCCTCAAATAGAAATTTTTTGTCTTTCTATTTTTATTTATTTATATGTATTTTTTTTTTTTTAAAGTTCTTTCAGGGCTTCCTTTCTGAGCCATTATTTGTTTAAAAGTGTGTTGCTTAATTTCCAAGTATCTGGAGATTTTCCCTATTTTCTTTCTGTTACTGATATTTCATTTGATTAAATTATATAGAGAATACAACCAAAAAAGAAAATAATAACCTCACTGCCATCTAGTGGATTCTAACCCATAGTGACCCCCATTGGGTTTCCGAGACCAAATCTTTATGAAAGTAGATCTCCCCATCTTCCTTCTGGGGAGAGGCTGAATGGTTTGAACCACTGACCTTCTGATTAGCAGCCAAATGCCTTATCCAAGATGCTGCCAGAGCTCCTTTTATAGAGAATATACTCAGTATAATTTCAATTGTTTTAAATCAGTTGAAGTTTGCTTTATAATCCAGTATATGGCCTATCTTAGTGAATGTTCCATGAGCATAAGAAAAAAATATGTGTTCTACTTCCATAAATATTGTGTAGATCCTATTGACTGATGGTTATTCCATATCTTTCCTGATGTTCTGACTAGTGCTTCTATCAATGGATTGACACAACAGTGAGCTCAAACAGCAACAATTGATGATGCAGGATTGGGTAACATTTCATTCTGTTGTACATAAAGTCACTATGGCTCCGAGCTCACTTGATGGCTAACAAAAGCAGTTATATTGATTGTTGAGAGCATTGTGTTCCGTTTCTCAGCTATTATTGTAGATTTGTCTCTTTCTCTTTAAGCTGTATCGTTTTTGTTTCTTATAACTGAAGTTCTGTTGTTTGATGCTTATACAGTTAAGATAGCTGTGACTTCTTAATTTCTGGACACTTAACACCCTTTGTCCATAGTAATTCTATTTGCTGTTAAATCTACTTTATCTGATATTAAAATACCACTTCTGCTTTATTTTTTATTAACATTTTCATGATATACCTTTTTCCATCCTTTTGCTTTCAATCTACCTACACCGTTGTAGTTGAACTGAATTTTTCGTAAATAGTATATAGTTGTCCTCTTTTTTTTATTTATTCTGAATCTTTATTTGGTATCTTCAGATTATTTACTTTTAATGTAATTATTGATATTTTGTGGCTTTAATATTTGTGTGTCTTTGTGTGTGTGTTTAGAATTTATGTATGTTTGTTCACTCTTTCTGTTTCTCAATCCTCTATTACTTTTTCTTGCCTTCTTCTGCATTACTTGTATTTAAGATTACATCTCAATTTATTTATAATTTATTAGTATTTTGCTTTTCATAGTTTTCTTGGTGTTTTCTCTAAATACTATATAAATGCATACACTACTTACCATAGCCTACCCCTACGGACTTTTAGTCCCTTCAAGTGAAGTATTGAAACCTTATTTTCACTTAGGTCCTATTTCCCTCTTTGGTTTTAAAATATATTTGCTTGAGTAGATCCTTGCTATACATGAAGCATCACATCAGATTGTATTATTAAAAGTTTTATTTCACTCATAAACTATGATTTAAGGAAGTCACAAGGGAAAAGAAACTCGATATTTATTTATATATTTAACCATTCTCCTTTCTTCTTTCTTTATGATCCAAGTCTTCTTATAGTATCATTTCCTTAAATTTGAGAGCTTCTTTTATACATTCCTACGAGTATGTATGATAGTGATAAATTTTCTTGCTTTTCTTTTGTCTGAGAAAGCCTTTATGTCTTCTCCATTTTTAATGGATGCTTTTACCAGACATGAAATTCATGTTGTACTATATTTTCTTTCAGTGCTTTAAAATTAGGATGTCACTGCTACTTACCTTCATGATTTCAATGAGAAATTTCAATTAGATATCTTTCAAATTGGTGTTCCCTTGTAGGTATGCAGCATATCTCTCTGTTAACTTTCAACCTAATTTCATTGTCTTTAGTGTAATTATGATATTTCTTGTTGTAGGTTACTGAGTTTATCCTCTTTGGGGTTTGTTCATCTTCTAGAGTTTGTATGTTTTCTTTCCAACAATTTGATGAAGCTTTAGCCATTATTTCTTTGAAGGCTTTTTAAATCCTCCATTTTTCCCTGTTCTTTGAGAGTGTATTTTTGATATTTTGTTATTATCACACAGGTTTCTGTATCTAACTATTTTTTAGTTTATTCTTTTCTGTGTTTCAGATTGAGTAAATTGTATTAATCTGTGCTCAAGTTCATCAAATCTATCCTGTGTCATCTCCACTCTACTATTGAATCTATCTAGCTTGTGTTTGGGTGCTCTGGTAGCGTAGTGCCTAAGGCACTTGACTGCTAACCAGAAGGCTGGTTGTTCAAACCCACCAACCACTCATCAGAAGGAAGATGGGGCAATCTACTTCCGTAGTGATATTGCCTCAGAAGCCCAAGGAGGGGTCGCTATGGGTCGAGCCCTACTCGATAGCACACAACAACAACAAGCTTATGTTTTATTTTATTTATTCTATTTTTTTCATTCCAGTATTGCCATTGGTTCTTTATGATATACTTATTAGCTGACATTTTCTGTTTGACTTATTTCAAGAGAATGTGTAGTTAAAAAAAAAAAAAAATTGCTATGGCTGCATCACAGTTTCTTCTGTAATTCCAACATGTGACTCATCTTGGTATCACCATCTTTTGATTGTCTTTTCTCATTCTAGGTGTGCTTTTCCTGGTTCCTGATATTATGAGTGATTTTTAGTTGTATCTTAGAATACAATAGATTTTGAATAATATATTGGGAGACACTTGATCTTTTTAAAATCTTCTATTTTAGAAGGCGGTCACCCAATTTATGTTGAGGCTTTATGTTGATTATAGTTCCAGTGATAATTTCATCTTCTCAGGCTTTTCAGCACTATTCTAATCTGCTTCATTCTTCTGGATCTGCTGGAGCCCTTGCTGAATCTTGATGGTGCAGCCTGCAGGAGTGGAAAGTGCATCCCGGCTCATCTAATGTTGCTAGTTGACTGCAGGAGATGAGTATCTTGTCTACTCTCTAGCCTCTGGATGCTAGTGGTCTTCCCTATACATCTCTGCAGATGCCTCTGGGTGAGGAACCCTTATCTGGGATGCCTTCTGTTGCTGGGGCTGGGGCCATGGAGAAATATCTTACCATGATTCTCTTCTCCCATTTATTGTAGAGCCAGGAACTGCTGAGTCTGAATGACTCTTTGCTATAAGCTGGAGGGTCAGGATTTGGTTTGCCTTCTACCTTTGGGTGAATGGTTGGTAGCTCCCAGGCCTACTGGCCTCAGAACAGGTGGAGGTAGCAAGTATTGTCAACAGGTATAGAGGAGGATATGGATCTCCCTGTGTAATGTACCAAAAGAAATAAATCAGGGCTCTTGGGATCATAATAAATAATTACACTGCTCACTGACATGGTCGCAGGCCTTTATTATGTATGTAGAAATGATAACAACAATAAACAGAGTAAGAATTATCCTTAGCCAGTTTCCACCAAAAGGCTCCCATTCAAATGTTAGATGTTTAGGGACTAGGAGGGAGACAGAGAGAGACACAATTTCACGACGCCTCGTAAGATAATGTTCTGAGCCCAAAGCCTCATCTTAGACACCTCAGATGGGAATTGTAAATGCAAACTCTCCTCCTAACACCTTGATAGGTAGCTTTGCTGATATAGACAGATCAAGCATGTAGTTGTCTGTGTGTTGGGTGTGGGATGGGTCAGTTCACTTGGGCTCTGCTGACTTTGCCACTTGGTACAGATCTTGCCTGCTTCTGTCATTGGGTAGGAATTGGGATTAAGTCTAGTTTTGAAATAAGGCAAATAAATGTAGACCCATCAATGCAGAATATGTTAACACTATAGTTTTTGTAGTATAGGGTAAACAAAGGAAAAAGGACTTACCATAAATATCAGTAGAATTCAAGAGAAAGGACTAAAGAACTCACTGAAAAATAATATTAGGAGAGAAAATAGAATGTATAATACTGGGAAAATCAATAAGGAAGAGAGGTTGAACTGCAGATCATTAATATGTATGGTTATTTAAGAAAAATCAAGGAGAAGAAATGTCAATTGAGGCATTTTTATTAACTTAGAAAAGAGCATGTGAAATATTCGTAATTAAAGACATATGTTGTTGTTATTGTTTTGTATCATCAACTTGATTCTGACTCATAGTGACCCTGTGTACAACAGAAGAAAATACTACTCAGTCCTGCACCATCCTCACAATCATTGTTATATTGGTCCATTGATGCAGCCACTGTGTCAATCCACCTCAAGGGTCAAATGAATACTGTTAGTTTCATTAATTCAGCAGTCATCGACTATACATTCAGAAAATATGTCTGAGAAAATAAAAATGAGAATAAGAAAGTTGTCACAACTATAACCACAATTATTTGAAAGATAATAGAAGCCATGGTTATTAATAGACAGAAGAAGAAGAGATTGCAAACAGATGACAAGGGAATGGAATAAATGATGAATAATGTTCATGGTGATGGTCAAATTTGAATATTTGTTGACATATGGGAGTAAGTTTTTTTTTTTTTTCCCAGAAAGCATTTATGACTATGCTTTTATAATCTTTTTTTCAGGGTCACTGCTTTTATCATGGATATGCTGTGGAAATTCCAAAATCAGCTGTGTCACTTAGCACCTGCTTTGGTCTCAGGTAACGATGTATTCCAGAGATGTATCTGATTTAAGATGTTGTATGACTCTTAATTTTCAGAAACTTCTTGAAGGGTGCAGTAAAGGTAAAGTAAGTACAGAATTTGATCGTATTTCTTCTCAAATACATTCCTTTCTTCATTCTTTTCCTCTAACATTTCTCATATTCGCTTTGTTTCTAGCAAAGGCTTATTAAAATACCACTTCTGCTTTATTTTTTATTAACATTTTCATGATATACCTTTTTCCATCCTTTTGCTTTCAATCTACTTATGCCTTTGTAGTTGAACTGAATTTCTCATAAATAGTATGTAGTTGTCCTCTTTTTTTTATTCATTCTGAATCTTTATTTGATATCTTCAGATTTACCCAGAAAAGTTCACAGTATTTACATTTCTTAGCAACACTGGAACCACAACTACTACTAAATAGTATAATAGATGACTATAAAATATATATTTGAAAGTTAATCCATTGGATGAGTCCACATAGACCACATAGATATCCATCAAATTTATATATTGCCATTTAATATTTATTTATAAATTTCTGTGTGAAATTTATATTGATTGCCTTTCCTTTTTATTCGAATTTCAGGGGATTACTACAGTTAGATAATGTCAGTTATGGAATAGAACCATTGCCATCTGCAGCTATATATGAGCATGTGATATATCAAATATGGAACGATAAAATCAATTTTTCCCTCTTAAAAGAAAATTACCCTATGACCCAACTTGAGGATCAGCCCTACAGGATTCTTGTGAAATCAAAAGTATGCAACTTCTTTAATTATATTCTTCTTTGCATTATTCTATTTATTTAATTTTTTAATTGAGATTTAGATGAAAGTTTACAGAGAAAATTCATTTTCCATACAGCAATTCTTACACATTTTGTTTCATGGCATTGATTGTTGTTGTTGTTGTTATTTTCCATTGAGTAGACCCCAACTCATAGCGACCCCTCCTTGGGTTTCCGAGGCAGTATCACTGTAGAAGTAGATTGCCCAAACTTCCTTCCAAGGAGTGGCTGGTGGGTTTGAACTGCCAGCCTTCTGGTTAGCAGTCAAGTGCCTTAGGCACTATGCTACTATAATCACCAACTCTCTTCCCACTTCCTCCCTGAGGTTATCTTTTCCCTATGTCCTTTTTTCCTATGCATTTCTGCCCTCTGAGCTATCTTCCTGTGCAAATAACTACCCTTTTTGATCTCCCATAGTTGATTGTTCTAAGGAGTGTACCTACCTGGTGTAAATGTTCACCTTATGTGCCTGTCTATTGTTTGGCTGGAAGCCTTGGGAGTGAGTTTCATTCCAGGCTTGAAGGATGACTAGGGGCCATATTCTCAGGGATGTCATGAGTCTCTATCAGATCAGTAAACCTGGTCTTTTTTTAAGATTTTGTTTTGTTCCACATTTTTCTCCCATTCTATCCAGGATGTCCTGTTTTGATCCCTTTCTGAAAGGTTGACAGTAGTAGCTGGGCACCATCTAGTTCTTCTGGTCTCATGATCACATAGCCTGACATATGCATGATCCACTGGTCCCTTGGACTAATTGTTTCCATGCATCTTTTGTTTTCTTCATTCTTCTTTGCTCCATATGAGGAGAGATCAGTTGTTGCAATTTACATGGTCATTTGCAAGCTTTTAAGACCCCCGCTGCTACTCATAAATTTTAGATATAGAGCAGTGTTTTTGTGTAGTATGTTATGCCATTTGAGTTTGATGTGACCCATGACTCACTCCCTCAGGAAGTTTGGCTCTGGCTTAAAAATTATTATGAGTATGCTGCATTAGCTCTTATATATATACACACACACATATATATATGCAGTGTTATAGCACATACAAGTATTTATGGAGAAATATCATCTACCAAACTTATATATGATCATGACTATACTCCCTTTTGCTGAGACAAACTTATGGACACCGAAACTTTGAAATTTGTTTAATTTGAAAAACAAAATTAGACTAATGATTATATTAAAATTTTCTTTTAGAAGATATTTATTTTAAAAAACATTTTTATATTTATTATAATATTTCAAAAAGAAACAAATTTTAAAAAACATTAGTGGGAGTTACATTAAGATGGCAGAATAGGCAGACAAACTGCACAGACCCTCTTCAACAAAGAAAAGGGGAACCAATTAACACAGATACAGAAGATAATCTTGGAGCCCTGAGCTTAGAAAGATAGGATACAGAAGTGGACTAAACTCCAACTAGTAGAAGAGGCTGCATGAAAACACCAAAAAAGGAGACACATGGAGCTGTGATCTGTCAGCAATCCTGATGGCGTACACAGTTTGGATATTGCCAAGTGGTGTTAAGACCTAAGAATTAACCTAAAAATTGGCCCTACTTGCCAAGGGCTACACAGAGGACTGCACGTGTGGCTGGTGGATAAAAGAGAAAGCAGCAAAAGGAAGATGGGCTGAGCAGTGGAGTTTTGCCTGTCCAGGGAGTGCAGTCATTTTGAATGTTTACAAGTGGTTCAACCATTTTAGATGTTTAAAGCAACAGCATTCTCCCATATTCCAAGGACTTAAGAATAGGCTCCACTTGTCAAGAACCAGAAGGACATTCAGGACACAAAAGACTGGAATGTGGGACACAGCAACAGTTCCAATACAACGCAACTACACCTGCACCTCCTGAAGCTCCACTTACTGAGTGAGAGCCTCCACTTCCTTTACCAACTGACCAATGATAAACAACCACCAGGAAGACCTGACTCACCCTTAGCTGCTCTTCATAAACAGTTAACAGAGATCTAAATACAACAATGTCACAATGTCTTGGAGACAACAGACCATCACAGTTCACATAAAGAAGCAAGATAAAGTGGTAGAAACAAGGCAGAAGGATACAGACCCAAAATACATCCCCTGAGGAAGAAGCAGCATTGAAACTCCTTGATAAGGAATTAAAATAATTGTATTTAGGTATCTTCAAATAAAACACTGACAAAATTAAGGAAAATACAGATAAAACCCTAGAACAATTTCAGAAGAAAATGCAAGAACAAAAGGTCAAAATAAATGAAAAATTAGAAAGGATACAAAATCTACAGATAGAAATCCAGAAGATTAATACTAAATTTTCAGAAATAGATAACACATTGAAAGGGCAAAGGAGTAGAATTGAATCAATGGAAGACAGAATTAATGAAATTGAAGACAAATACCTGCTTACTTCTTTGGAAAGGGATGAATCAGAAAAAGTAGCAAAATG